GTGTAACTTTGGTTTGAATAACTTGTCCTCTTTAACCCCCAAATGCCTCGACAGTAAATGGAGGTGGTTACAGTATCTATTATTTTAGAGATGGGGTCTCACTATGTTGCCCAGGCTGGGCTTGACCCCTGGCTTTGAGAGATCCTCTGGCCTCGGCCTCCCCAGTAGCTGGGACTACAGACGCAGGCCACCACGCCCAGCTTTACGTATTTATTTTATCTGGAACAGTGCTAACTTCACTCCTAAATTTCTACATTATGCAACTGAAGTCAGGTAACAATCCACGGTTTAAATTAAGATAACTGGGATATTTCAGACCCAAGAAAATAATATCTACTCTACATATGCACATGGCTTAAAATGTCTGCTCTACTGATATTCACTTATCTGGTTTATTTTTTAAGTTCAGACAGCACAGCAAGCATATTCAAAAAGCATAGATCCAGGCCGGGCGCGGTGGCTCACACCTGTAATCCTAGCACTCTGGGAGGCCGAGGCGGGTGGATCGTTTGAGCTCAGGAGTTCGAGACCAGCCTGAGCAAGAGCGAGACCCCGTCTCTACCAAAAATAGAAAGAAATTAACTGGACAGCTAAAATTATATACAAAAAATTAGCCGGGCATGGTGGCGCATGTCTGTAGTACCAGCTACTCGGGAGGCTGAGGGTTGAGCCCAGGAGTTTGAGGTTGCTGTCAGCTAGGATGACGCCACGGCACTCTAGCCCGGGCAACAAAGTGAAACTCTGTCTAAAAAAAAAAAAAAAAAAAAAAAAAGCATAGATCCAAATTGCTTTCATCTGCCTCAAATAATTAGTTAAAACTAAAATAAAATCATAATTCAATTTTAATCCATGGGTATATTAACTAGGAGACTACAAGGCAGAATGACAAGGATGCCTTGCGAGGAAGAATGCAGGTCAGCTCTGAATTAGCCCTTGCCCTAGGAGGTAATACTCTCAGGAAAAGCACGAAAGGTCATTAGTAACCTCCTAGAAGCCAAATTCAATGGAGACTTTCAGTCCAACTCTTCCTTGGCCTCTTACCGACCTGCTCCTCTCCTCTCCGTTTCCCGGGGCGCTTTCCTCCCAGGGCCGCTCTGCAGTTTCTACCAGGTGGACGTTAGGACCCCACTGGCTCCCAACACGATGCAGACTCACAGATCTTCAGGTCCAGCCCCAGCCTCTCTCTGGAGCTCCAGTCCTGCACCTCCACCTGCCCGCTAGTCCCCCTGGCTGCCCGGCAAGCACTTCGGACCTGACACATCCAAAAGCAGACTCACGTGCCCTGTCAGCCCATTTCCCCTGTCTTGGTGGGTGTCACCAGCCAGTGGGTCACCCAAGTTAGAGATGAAGAGATCATTCTAGATGTATTCCTTCAACAAACATTTATTAAGTGCCCATTATGTGCCAAGCACTGACTCTGAATGCAAGAGACAAAAATCCCTGCCCCTGTGGAGATTATGAATGGAAGTGGAGACAGAGAATAAAGAAAATAAAATGATTAAGTGAAATAATACAGTACTTTAAGCAGTGAGGAGCGCTAAGGAGAAAAACCAGCAGGGCAGGGGCTAAGGAGCACGCGGACACAACACGCGATCACTAGATCATTAGAGTTCAGGTCAAGCCCCAGCTGCGCCTGGCAGTGCTGCAGTAGGGCCACAGCAGGAAGACGGGATAGAGGTGGGGGCAGGGTGCTCAGAGGACACTGGAAAAACCTTAGCAGAGCAGTGCCAGGAGCTGCCTTGTGCTTTCACCAGAGTCCTGCCCTGCCCCAATCTGATCAGCCCTTAACCGCCCCCCATCCCACAACCCCAGCCCTAATCCAGCAGCTCTGCTGTTCCTGCTGTCACTGCCCAGCCCAGAGGCTGGCAGTCCCCACTTGGGGTTAAGGACTCCCTGACTAGGCTCATCCCAGTTCCCAGCACCTGCCACACCACTGCCTATGCTCCTCCTAAAATGTCACCTGGCTCCTCAGAATCCCCCAACCCTCCCTCAAACGTCGCGATGGAAGCAGCCTCCCAGGCAAGTGGGTCCAGGCCCTTCCCAGCCTCACCTTTCCACCCCCACCCCCACTCCTTCCTCCGCAGCAGGCCCCTCTGCCACAGCGCAACCCCAGGCCTTGTTTCCTCCCGAAGGACCACCAATCCCACACTTGGCCAATTTTACTTTCCCTCCAGTCTCCTGTGAGGAATCACTTCCTCCGAGCGCTCACCATGGTCTGTAACCGGCCCCTGCCAGGCTGTGAGCACCTAGCGGAGGCGGCTTCCATCAACAGAGCGACTCCTTGGTCCAGCGCCTGCCAGCTGTTCTCAACAGACATTTAAGACCGTACTTTCATAATCCTAATTTTAGTCATTTTTACTCTATGTCCTGAAATTTGATACTTAAAGCTTCCCAAGTACTCGTGTTTAGGATATTACTGCTCTCTTCTTTGTTACATAAAATATTGGTTTCTTGCATTCCACTTATCTACTAAGAATGTTTCCAAATTATACAAATTCTACATTTCATTCAAGTTTTGACTTTTCTTTTATGTAAATATTTTAAAGATAGTTTATACCCTATACAGAAAGTTACTTTTTTTTTTTAACATTGTGAAACATGCTTAAGAATGTACAAAGTTTTTTTTTTTTGAGACAGAGTCTCGCTCTGTTGCCCTGGCTAGAGTGAGTGCCGTGGCGTCAGCCTAGCTCACAGCAATCTCAAACTCCTGGGCTCAAGCGATCCTCCTGCCTCAGCCTCTCAGGAGCTGGGACTACAGGCATGTGCCACCATGCCCGGCTAATTTTTTCTATATATTTTTAGTTGTCCGGCTAATTTCTTCCTATTTTTAGTGGAGACGGGGTCTCGCTCTTGCTCAGGCTGGTCTTTAACTCCTGACCTAGAGCAATCCTCTCACTTCGCCCTCCCAGAGTGCTAGGATTACAGGTGTGAGCCACCACACCCAGCCAGAATGTACAAAGTTTTAAGGCTGGGCGTGGTGGCTCACACCTGTAATCCTAGCACTCTGGGAGGCCGAGGTGGGAGGATCGCTCGAGGTCAGGAGACCAGCCTCAGCAAGAGCAAGATCCCATCTCTACTAAAAAAATACAAAGAAATTAGCCAGACAACTAAAAATATTAAAAAAAAATTAGCTGAGCATGTTGGTGCACCCCTGTAGTCCCAGCTACTTGGGAAGGCAGAGGCAGGAGGATTGCTTAGCCCAGGAGTTTGAGGTTCCTGTGAGCTAGACTGAGGCCATGGCACTCTAGCCTGGGTGACAGAGGGAGACTCTGTCTCCAAAAAAAAAAATTTAAATTTTTTTTTAATGTATAAACTGCAGTGTTTATTTATTATGAAAAAAAGATACTGTGTGCCTCTTTCCAGTGGCATTCCCTCCTTCCTCCCTGGGGGAGATCGACACTGTCCTGATTCCCATGCACGTGTTTCTGCTTTTCCAACGCATTGTCTGCCGCGCTTTTGTGAGACCCTGCCAAGCGAGGGGAATAGCTGAGGCTGCAATGAGGTTACCACCCGGATCCTCCACACCACTCAGTACCACCATAGGGCTGCCAGGCTCAACTGCAACATGATGTTGCATTCTTTGATGACTTGGAGAAACCAGCTTGTCAGAGTGCCTTCCCTCCCACATAGAACTCCCCACAATCTGAAATGTTTAGTATCTAGCATCATTGTATTCTTACACTTAGGAAACAGAACAATGAGTCAAATTTCCCACCATAACAGAGGTTTGTTGTCAGTCTCTGGAAGTAAATCCGTAACTATGATACGATTAGGGGACTTAGGGAGGTTGTTCCAATTTCCTTATGGGTTTTTCACTGAGCTATTACAATGTATTCCAAGCTGATTCTGATCAATGGCTTAGTCATGCTGTACAAAAAAAGCCCTGGAATTCAACTCATGCAAAAATTCCAAGATCCAACTGCCCTTTTATATAGCACTTTAAATGGCATATCTCAAATTTTTTGTTCTCATATTTTTTAAAAACATCACTTTTGCAAATACTCCTTATCAAGTGCTTAATATGTAAATTTTTAAATGCGTCTAAACAATAAAACGGTAACAGGCAGCAAAAATTCTAACACAAATATACCCGGAAATGACCTGCAAACCCAAGTTACAAACCCATCCACTCAACCACGCATTAACTGTACTTTTTTAACGCTTTATTTTAATTTTTTAAGGAAAAGGGTGCACCGTATTTTTACATTGAAAAAGCGCTCCAGGACGGAGCGCTGCAAGCTTAGTTGGAACAACGCCAGCTTAGGTGAACAGGGATGCCCGAAACCGCACGTGGCTACTGACAGAAAGGGACCGCCAAGGGGGCGAGGTGCAGCCGGCCTCTCAGGAGGGGCCGCGAGGATGACAGGCGCGTCCGCTCAGGGCGGTGCCGCGGGAGAGGGCGGCGGCCGGAAGGAAGCGGGAGGAATCGGACAAAGCCAGCGCGCCCGGCCACCGGCCTCCCGCCCGCCGCGTGCCCGGGGGCGGCCACATCCCCGTCGCGCGGCTCCCGGTCCGCAGCTGTTCCCGGGAACGGCCGCCCCCGCCCGCAGCAGGCCGAGCAGAGGACGAGGGGCCCAGGCGGAGACGGGATGAGGGGACACAGATGGGCAAGGAGCCTTGGACGGGGGACAGGGACCTAAACCTAGAGGGGGAACACAGACGCGGAGGGAGCCGCGGCTCAGGGCGGGGGACCCAGGGCCCGGAACCTAGAAGGGGAACACGGATGGCGAGGGAGCTTCGAGGTGGGGACAGGGACCGGAACCCAGAGTGGGGACATGGATGGAGAGGGAGCCGCAGCCCAGGGCTGGGGACCCGGAGACGGGGAGGGGCCGGGAACAGGGACCTGAACCTGCAGGGGACGCGGATGGGGCCGGAGCCATGAACTGGGGCAGGAACCAGGCTGGGGACCTGGACTAGGGACGGACCGACACCGGGACCTGAGCAGGACTGGGCCGTGCAGGAAGGGGCCAGGGCCGGGCCGGGCCCGGGCGGGGACTCACCGTCCTGCTCCTGCGGGGCCGCGCTGTCTCGCGCTGTCAGCACCGGGAGGCGCCGCCGTGCGCGTGCGCGGAGCAGAGGCTGCGCGCCGGGCCCGCAGCCTCGGCAGCCTCAGGCGCGGCGCTGCGGTCACGAGTGAGTGGCGCCGGCGCGGCCACCCTGCAGCATGCTCGGCCGCCCGCGCGCTGTCCCCTCGGCTCCTCCTCGCGGCCGCAGCTCCGCCGCCCGTGCCGCTCCCGCCGCCGAAAATGGCGTCTCCGCGTCGCTCCCGCGGCGCCCCGCCCCGCCGCGCCCCACAATGCCGCGCGCCGCATGACGTCACCAGCGTCTTCGCCCAACCCGGGCCGGGCGCCGGGATCCGGGGAAACTGAGGCGGGGCGGCTCCAGGCAAACGCCGGGCGAGCTGAGGCCGGGAGGGCGAGGCGGCGTTTGGGTATCGAGTGGGCGGTCTCGGGGAGGCGGGCGGTGGGCGCAGGGCTCCGCGGGCCTCGCGGCTGGCGGGCGGGGTGCCGGCCCGGGGTGGCAGTCCGTGGGGGGGCCCGGCCGGGCTAGCGGACGCGGCTGCCCCGCCCCGTCCCACCCCAGGCTCTCATACTTTGCAAGGAGGGCTCTCGTAAGCCCCCTAGAAAGGAAGGACCCTGGCCCGGGAGACTCAGCCTGAGACCAGGAGGCCTTCCTCTTCTGCTGGAAAATCTACATCCTCTCGTCAGGACCCTGCCCCCCCACCCCACGCCCTGCCCTCTCGTTGTTCCCTCTCCTCCAGAATCAGAGCTCAAGGGAGCTTAGCAGGCGCTCCCCCTCGGACACAAGCTGCATCTCAGGCGGGTAATCGGGAAGGGTCAGGGTGCTGGCAAGGGAGGAGACGCCCACCCTCCGCGTGGCACCCCGGCACCAGCCCCTCCCCCTGCCCGCAGGGCCTTGACCTCCAGCCCAGGCCTGAAGGGCAGTGCTTCTAGGTCAGAGAGGCACCCGGGTCTCCTGCTGCGTGCCAGCTCTGCAGGCCTGACTCAGCAGCTGATTCAGTGGGCAAGGCCAGCTTTCTTTGCCTGCCACCAGCTTGGGGAACCCTCCAAGTGCCTGGAGACCTTTCAAGTGCAGGACCCCGGTGGCTTTATTTAACCTGGAAGCGCACCTGGGCCAGTCCCCCGACCCTGTCTTGTGAACTGCTGTCCTCTTCCACTGGTTGAACCCTGCAGTGGCACCTGCAGTCCCCAGGGAAGCAAGTGCTCCCCATCACCAGGAGGTCCGGTTACTTTGATGTCATTCCTAAGTACAAAGGTGGGATAAGAAGGGGGTGCTCCCTCGCATGACACAGCAGTCAGGGTCGGCCGGAGGCAGAAGTAGGGGGTCAGGGCCAGACAAACCCCCTGCAAGCCATCATTAGTATTCCAGCCAAACTGCTGCTTAGATGCCACTAGCTCCTCACGAACCATTGGGCTGGGCGTCCACCGGCTCACCGCGAGGTGCTGTGGCAAAGGCTCGTTTCTTTCTGTGCCTCTGGGCTCAGTAACCGTCCCCTCTGCTCACCCACCACCCCAAAAAGAAGCCCAGGAGGCCTGTGCCCCCTCCCTTATGCCCCAGTTCCTAAGCATGGCCAAGAGTCGGCCTCTACAACATTCCTCCAGTCCAGCCCACTGCCACCGCTTTTTCCGGCTTTATCACCTCCTTATTTTTTCCCTCAACAAATACTTGGGGAGCTCCTGTGAGGATGATACGAACCAAGGAAGGATACACTGGTCAACTGGAAAGATAAGATCCCTGCTCTCCAGGAGTTCACATTCTAGTGAAGAGAGGCCATAAACATACAAACAAGGAAATGACTGCTCTTGCAGGGAATTAAAGTGAGATGAAGTAACAGACAGAGGCTAGGAGGTCAGGGGTAAACTAGAGAAGGGATCAAGGGTGCAAAGCCAGCAAAAGAGTACTCCAGGGCCAAGTCTGCTGGCAGGAGTGAGCCCGAAGTGTTGGGGGAAGAGAAGAGGCCAGTTCCCCCTCCAAGCCTGCCATGCATCACTCTCGGGGCAACTCTAAACTCACTGGGTCTGCCAGGCCCCCAGGACCCGGTGCTGCTGACCTCCAGGTTCTCCTGTCTCCCGAACACCCCTAGCCATCCCGAGTTCACCCTGATCTCTCACAACCCCATGCCCCTGTGCGTAGTGTCCACCCTGCCTAGAATGTTCTCCCTCCCCCTTGTCTCTGTACTCCAGGACTCAGCCCAGCATTGATTCCTGCAGGGCCTTCCCTCACAGCACCAGCCTGGGTCAAGGCCTTGAGCTCCCACCTGTCCCTTCCACTGATGTGCACTGTGTGGTCAGTTGACACAGCCGCCTCCCCCTCAGCCCGTGGGCACTAGAACAGGAGGGGCCCATGTCCTTATCCCCACAGCCCTGCCCAGCACCTGATTCAGCTGCAGGGGCGCTGAGCAAACATGTGCAAGAGAAAGGAAGGCCAGGCCAGCCCTTCTTGGCTTCCTTGGCACAGAGCTGCTCCTCTCGCCACCAACCCTGGGGGAGCAGACACGAAGGGTCCCCTTGAGTCCTTGACTTCTGCCGTGATCCTCAGGAGTTCCCGCCAGTCTTGGAGCCCTTAGCAGCTGGGGGTGCTGCCAGGTGCACCCCAAGGTGCTGCCCAGGATCAAAAGACGTGGACACTCTGCTCTACTGCCCTGAATATCCGGCAGCTGGCGGGTGCCCACAGGATGCCTGCCCAGCCACAGGCCTGGAGCGCAGGGATTTCCCAGTCATCCTCCCCTAGAGCCCCAGTCAGAGACTAACAAGCACCCACCCTGGCTGAGCCACCCTGAGCATCCTCGGTCCCTTTGAATCCTCTGAGCCTCACAGCAACTGAGAGGGGCACCGCCTTGCCATCTCCATTTTACAGACGCCGCAGCCAAGGCCCTGCAAGTTGCACCATTTGCTTGCTGCCCCCCCGAGAAGAAATGCCATTCAGCTTTAGGAATCAAAACGGAGCCCCTCCAAGCTTCCTGTGCAGGCTCTAGCAGAGCCAAGGAGCTCACGTCTGGTGGCAGCTGTGCCTTTGCAGGGGGAAAAGCCCCAGCAGGGCTATGCAAGGGCAGCAAACCCATTGTCTGTCCTTCCCCGTGGGCGTAGAGGGACAGGGCTCCTGGGAAGCAAACGCGGCTGGGGGTTGTCTGGATGGAACACGAAACACTGTTTATGCGGGGCCTGGTGGCCCCTGAGCATCCCTGTGGCTAACAGACTGGGGGAGGGTAAGTCAGGGTCCTAGAGGGGTGGGCTGTGCCGGAGGGGAGCAGCAGGAGACCCTCCTCCAGGGCCTGCCCTGCACCCTCCCCCCCACAACCATGTGGCAGGACTAGGGCTTCCTCCAGCAGACATCAGAGCAGGGTGCGGGCTCTCTCCTTGCTCCCTAGAGACTGCTCCGGCTCTTCCTGTGGGGAAGGGCAGCCTGTGTGTGAGCTGTGTCCTCCTCTCGGCCTGTCTCTGTCCCTCTCCCTTTCCCTAGTCCTCTGCCTTTATCTGTGTTCATCTCCTTCCTGCTCCTGACCCTTTGACTCCCCTGCTCCAAAACCTGGAGAGATGAACGGGAACAGACAGCCTGGAAATCTAAACAGGCCATGGCTGCGTCTGAGCTGCAGGTTTGGAGCCATCTGCAGGCCCAGCTGAAGCTGTGGCTGAGATCCCTGGTCGAGGAGTGAAAACGTCCCCACGCATCCGTGGACTCAGGGAATACCGAGCCATGAGAGAGAAGCCCAGAGCCTACAGTTGCACACGCATTCTGTTCCCAGTGTTGATTGAGAACTTGCAGTGGCCGGGCAAGGCTGGGCGGCAGAACAGGCTGGTGAGCTGACGGCCTGCAGGAGCTGAGACAGGCCTGGAGATGGTGCAGGGGACCTCTATGCCCCCCGGGGATGGGGGAGACAGTCACATGGTAGATGTAAAGGATCCAGCAGGTGGAGGAACCGCAGGAAGGAAAGTACAGTGCCCCAAAGGGAACAAACCACACAGCCTCGTTTGTCCCAAGCAGAGAGAGGCACAGGAAGTTGCTACATTTTTAAGCATTCATCTCTTTACTGTAAATGTCTGTGGATGTCTGTCTTTGGGGGCAGCCTTTTGGAAGAGACAAGGAGGCTGGGACTTGCCTTTGATCCTGGGGAGCCTGCAGTCCAGGGGACAGCCTCATCCTGAGTGTCTGAAGAAGGGGGAAAGAGAGGAGCAAGAGGGGAGAGGAGGAGAGGAAGGGTGGGAGGTGGCGTGACGCCCGTCCTGGGCTGGGCAGCAGTACTGGTGCCTGGTGCCCATCCTCAGGCCAGAGGGGTGACCTGGAGGGAGGTCGAGGGAAGCACAGGCTGAGGGCGGCACAGGCTGGCTTCGTCTGGGGCCTGGGCACAAGTCACCAGGGAGGGGCGGCCTGGCATCCGGACCAGGCTAATCTGGGCTCGGTCCTGCCTTGCTCTGGCCACAGGTCACACCCTCTTTGGTTTCAGGCTTCTATTCTGAAAATGGAATTGCTCTGATTTCCAGGCTGTTTTTCTTTAAAGAGCTGGAGCTGCCCAACCCACAGCCCCAGGGACTGCTTCCTCTGGAACAGAGGGGAAAGGGCAGGGCTTTGAGGGTGAGGGGACTCTGCAGGGAAGCCCCCCCCCTGTCTGTCTCTGTCCCTGGCACGCTGTTTCCTCCTTGGAATGCCAGGGCACACGGCCTGGATGCAGTCTGGCGAACCCCACCCACGCTCCCGCGGGACTGCCCGGGGGCCTCAGAGAGAACAGAGCCTGGGTTCTCCCAGGGCCAGCGGCTGCCACCACGACCGCTCGGCCACACCTTCTCCCACGTTGCGGATCCTGCTCGGCAAGCCCGGGTCATGGGAGCAGTCTGCTCGCGTGGCCCTGGTGACCCAGGCCACAGCATTCATGTCCCAACCACCCCCTCGCACAGACGGGCCGGCAGCGTCCTGACACCGCTGGAGTGAGCCTGCGGCTGGCGACCACGCTGGAGAGCCGCCTGGGGAGGCCCAGAGGCCCAGTCAGCCGGCGACCCAGAGCCCTACTTCCCAGCCAGCCATGGAGGTTCCTGGCGTGAGGGAAGCTGACCTGGAGGCCCCTGGGCCCAGGACGCTGCAGAGCAGGACCGCTGCTCAGGGGGGACGGAGGGCGGCATCTCTCCACGCAGAGCCCAGGCTGGCCGTGCGTACCTCGTACGTTCGTCACACGCTCC